GGGACATTCTCTAAGATTGACCATTTCCTAGGACACAAAGTAAATCTCAAGAAATTTAATAAAATAGAAATCATACCATGTACCTTCTCAGATCACAGTGGAATAAAAGTAGAAATCAACCCTAACAGAAACTCATATTTCTACACAAAAATGTGGAAATAAAACAACCTCCTATTAAATGATTACTTCATAAATGAAGAAATCAAGTTGGAAATAAAAAACTTCTATGACCAAAACGACAATGGAGAGGCAAGTTATCAAATCATCTGGGACACAGCGAAAGAAGTTCTGAGAGAAAAGTGTATCTCCATAAATGCATACAACCAAAAGAAAAAACGTTCACAAATAGACAATCTAACAAAACAACTCAAAGAGCTGGAAAAAGAAGAACAGACCAACCCCCAACCGAGCAGAAGAAGTGAAATCAACAAGATCAAATCAGAACTAAATAAAATTCAAAACAGGGAAGCTATTCAGGTGATTAATAAAACAAAAAGTTGGTTCTTTTAAAAAATAAATGAAATTGACACACCATTGCCTAAGATAACGAAAAGCAGAAAAGACAAATCTCTAATAAGCTCCATCAGGAACAAAAAAAGGAGATATCACAACTGATCCCAAAGAGATACAAGATATAAATTATGAATACTACAAACATCTTTATGCACACAAACTGGAAAATTTGGAAGAAATGGAAAATTACTAGAAAAACACAGCCTCCCTAGGCTCTACCAGGAAGAAATAGATTCCCTGAGCAGACCAATCTCAAGAGCTGAAATAGAAACAGCAATTAAAAATCTCCCTAAAAAGAAAAGTCCCGGTCCAGATGGTTTCACACCCGAATTTACTACACTTACAAAGAAGAACTAGTACCTATCTTGCAGAAACTATTCCACAACATCGAGAAGAACGGAAACCTCCCTGACGCCTTTTATGAAGCGAATATTACTCTGATACTAGGAAAGGATGCAATAAAAAAAGAAAACTGCAGACCAATATCCCTAATGAATATAGATGTAAAAATTTTCAACAAAATCTTAGCTAACCGAATCCAGGGGCTTATCAAAAAATAATCCACCACGACCAAATGGGCTTCATCCCAGGGATGCAGGGATGGTTAACATATGTAAATCTATAAATGCAATTCACCACATAAACAGAAGCAAAAACAAAGACCACATGATTCTTTCAATAGATGCAGAAATAGATTTTGACAAAATTCAACACCCTTTATGATATGAACACTTAAGAAAATAGGCATAGAAGGGACATACCTAAAAATGATAGAAGCCATATATGACAGACCCATAGCCAACATCATACTGAATGGGG